TTACGACACAAAAATTGAGTGTGGGTCCAAATATTACCAAAATATACAAATAAAACAATGGGTCCTTCATGGGCCAATCCTTCCACTAATTACGTTTAATTAGATGGATGTCAATATCATTGTCCGAGCATTATATTTATTCAATTAGATTAAAACCTAAACTACCCAATTTTGTGCACAAACAACGGCTTAGATATTTTCCTCAAAAGTTGACTTCAATAATTAAAAATGAAAATTGAACTACTTTCATTTCATTCACGGCTTATTTCTCTTACAGCAAGTCATTATTTTTACAGTACAATAATGATAAAATAATCAAATGAGTGTGGAAATAAATAGAGAAATGATGGGTTCAAATAGAAATACTCCTAATTTTGCAAATTAATTAATTAAACAGCATCAAACAAGTGCTCTCTCATCATGAATCAAAATTCAAGATGGCCTTTTGAGTATCCTGAGGAGTGACTTCAAAGTAAAGTTAAAAAGATGTTTTACAAAAAATCTTGTTCTCTGTTCATTAAATTTTGATTTTATTATTATTATTTTTGAATACAAACGATATTGAGGGAGGGGAGATTATAACATAAAATTTCAGGTGCATGAATAAGTGCTCTTAATCAATTGAGAGCTACAAGCCCCTTGCTTGAATTCCATTTTACAAGTACGCTCAAAAGAGTAATAAGGGATATATGTGTTTGGAAGTATTAATAAGTCCCTCTCAAAACTAATCCTATCCATGGTTAAAATATCTTAATTAAGAAAGTGTTGTTTGAAAATAATTTGGTAATTTTAACAATGAAATGCTTGGATGTTTTTGTTTATTAGTTGGACCAATAGCCTCGCATAATTGGATTCTTGTGTGCATCGTTAGACCACAGCAAAGAGGGCATTAGATTTGCAAATCTACATTAAGTTTAATACATGCCTAATCCAAGTCCATATCACGTACGTTTTAAACTAAGCCGTGTTGGATTTAATTTAAGCCATGGAATTTAAACCGACGACTTATATATTATTCATTTGTTTATATATATATTTTATGAAATTTACAATTTCTAAGTACAAGAAAAGACATGCTAACCGTGGCTGATTATCAATATGGTATCTACTTTGGTAGGGAGCCTGGGGCAAACAAAAATTCACGGCTAAAAATAATTAGGTTGATTTTTCTCGGTCTGCATTCCTTACCAATCTCCATCAGTCTACTCTTTTTTCTCGGTCTTCTTTCAAGTGTGATGGCCACATCGTCACCTAGCACTACTCAAGGTTGATTTTGAGATTTTAAGAGTGTAGAACGACAACAAAAGAAGAGGCTCTATATATATACTATATATACTAATAATCTTACACAAAAAATCTTGATTTTATTGTGTTTTACTTTTGTCTAGTAGGTGAGTCTTCTAAGAACGCATTATTGTGGTATGATATTCTCTCTGGGTTCTTTAATTTTTATTTTCCAACAATATTCAAATGTGGAATCTTGATTTGTATGTCAAATTGGAGGGAGAAACACTTGCATCAAACGGGCTGCCACTAATGTTTTGCCACATGAAAAAATTATTATGTGTGTCATAGTATTAATGGTCGGTGATAACAAAATAATGTTATCTCATTGTAACTAAGTTTTTCTCCAAATTAAGTTTGACTTGCAGGCTTGGGTTTGGGGGATTCATTATTAATGTTTTTTTTTTAAAAAGGCGAAGTCCAGAGAAAGTGGAGACGAAACTAGCCCGGCCCAAATCTACAAACACTGACCCGTAGCACACAAAATCGTTCCACGTATCAAATAGTAGTTTTCTAACTAGGATTAATTTTAACTTTAATTTCCTAAATTATTGAACTTCTGGCTTTTGTTTGTTTATGCTTTCTTAGTTGTTTGAGAACAGGTATTACTTTTAGTTTCCTACGAGAGATGAAAGATTTGGTGTGTGTCCTTGGCCAATTAGTATGCTGATTTGACAGTGGTACTACATGTGAGAGAGCCGCCATCATAGCTTGGTTTGACAGTGGAAAGAGAACTGACCCAGAAACTCATGAGGTTCTTGAAGATACTTCCATTGAGGCAATCAATAGAAGAGTGGAGAGAACTTAATTAATGCTCTATCCTTGGAATGGAAATCTCACAACAGAGATGTCAAGAGGAAGATTTTGATCACCTTAAAGGATATTGTAGAAGGGCATGCAAGAAACAAGGTAAGCATCTTCGGCTCTTTGTATATATATATATCATATATATGGAACCAAAAAAGAAGAAGTGAATATTTTGATCACCTTCCTTTAATTCTTTTAATTTTCCTCCCTCCATTTGAATTTGTTGAGTATACAATCTATTATTGCATGGTTGGACAACGCTATGAATTGGTTTAGAATTGTAGAATTTCAAGTTTCTAATCCTTCTTCCATCCCAAAACCAATTGGCAATGGGGAGTAGTTCAACTCCTTATAAGCCCTTTCAAGATTTGTTAGTTTTCTAATATATGGGACATTTTCTCTAGAGGGTCGTTAGGCGAGCTGAAGTTAGCACTTGTTTTTATAGATGTTTTTGGTTATTCTATAAGAAAGTTGATCTTTTAGTTTTAAGTTGTTATTTACTTTATCATCAGGCATGGGACACATACTTTTACTCTATCCCAAGTCTGTGTAATCATGTAATGGCAATCTGTCGTTGCAATTGAACAAGGCCATAATAAGATGTGTGTATGTATGTAGTAAAATATCTTACACTAAAATAAGAGCTGATGCGGTATTTGAGGCTCCTTTCTTATCTATAAACGTGTTCTTCTAATAAATAAATGGACCTTGACATTAAATATCAAATTCAACATTTAACTTTTTAGATTTTTTTTGTTTGTCAATATTTAACTTTTAGATTATGTTAGTGGAAACAGATTTTCTCTTATCATAAGTATTTTATTTCATAGAGAATCTTTTTTTTAAAATAAAAATTAAAGGGAATTGTTGCTTTACAAGAGCTATTTAGCCCTCTGGATCCTATGAATATGGAAATAAATAGTGAAATTATGGGTTCAAATACAAGTACTCTTAATTTTAAAAAGAAATTAATCAAACACCATAGAAGAATATAGTGGGTGCCAAAAACATTTTTAAGTATCCTGCCGAAATTTTTGGGTTCTAGTTGGATTCGGGGCGGGCTGGATCAAGGTTTCAAAGGGCTGGTTGGGCCTAGACAGGCCTAACTGGCCGGGGAGGACTACTATGGGCCTAACATGCTAGGCTTTTCATTTTATTTTTTAATATTTTTTTCTAAGTCTTTTGAAAAAAAAAAATCTTATCAAAATGTATGACTTCTATCCTAAATTAAGATTAGAGATTATTGAAAAAATTAACTTAATTTATAATATATATAAACCAAATAAGAAATTTATTAGTTTATCCTACATATTAAATTATTTTGGTTAAGTATAAAATGAGATTTTTTTTTTGGCCCAGGATGTAATGTAAATTAAGTTTGTTTTATTTGTCCAAAAAAAAAATTAAGTTTGTTTTAATATCATAAAAGCGTGGATGTATTTGAAAAGTGGCCAAACATGTTAGTATGTTACAATATCTGAGTTGCGCTTGAGTGAGTATGTAAAAGTAGCAAGGTGGATTTCAATATCTGGCTTTACTGTGTGCCTCATCGGTTGATTAAAAACTATTTATATTGAATGCTAATGATTTTGGTTAGGAATTTTTTTTAAAGGATTTTTTTTATTGAGATGGGAGTAATAATATACTAAGTTTATGTACACTACATAAATGCTAGGATTCAATTGTTTCAAACCACTGCCCAAGGTAGCATTGGCGAACCTATGAATTTTTTAGCGGATGTGCAATTTTGAAAGGCTAAAACTCTTTGTGGATTGAACATCTAAGGCTTTTTACCTAGATTGGTCTTAGGTTCCTTCATGCATTCATATCATACACGAAAAATTGTTTTATATAAAAATATTGACTAAGTATGAAAATTAGTTTTTCAAAATAATCATTTTCTCAAGATAATTTTTGGCTGCTTTTATTCCTTATACATCAAATAAGAAAACTTGATTTTATGGGATTTTAGTATGAAGTATATATTGACTTAATGAGCCATCATTTTTAGCCTAAATCGTATTTTGCACTAAAACCGATTTTTCATATTTTGATTTGGTGGGAATTTGATTTTCTAGTATTTTTATTTTTTGGGGTCCGACATCAAACAATCAATACCAACTAGGTCTTAATAATATTATTTCGACATATCCATTTGTTTATCAATGAACCAAAGGCGTCTTTCCTAATAGTCTGAGGGGGCTTTGCCTGGCTAGTAGGTTTTGATATATGAGGAGTTGGCTGAGGGCAAGAATTCTATAGTGAGGACCTTATATATGGCCCTTAGGTGAGGTCATATCTCTTAACCGTTGGATCATATTCGTTAGCCTGATTCAACGATTAAGAGATAAAACCTCATCTAAGGGCCATATATAAGACCCTCACTATAAAATGACTTTGAATGAGGGCTAGTGGCTGTAGTTCGGATTGAAAGGCCTACATCCAATTTGGGACGATAAAGATTCTTTTCAACACACCCGTACTTTTCTTTACATCATCTGCTTGAAGACCAAAAACTAACCATTGATTAAAGAAGGAGAATTTTTTTTTAAAAAAAAAAAAAAAGAGAAATAACTGTAAGTCACATCCATTTGGAGAATCAACTTAAGGACAACTTTGCATTTCCGCTTTTGCCAAAAACGGAATGATAGCTGAAGCTGATAGTGTTTGATGAATTTTTTTAAAATCCCCACAATGTCCCTATTAACTTTAAACAATTTACATTGATTATCCTTTATCTTCTTTCTCACATATCCGCACGATTCCTCTCCCCTCAAGCTCCTTGTTGTATGTCAAATTGGGGCCTGAATATGACTTGCAGGCTTTGGTTTGGGAGATATCAATATTAATATTTAAAAAATAAAACTAGCAAAGCCCACAGAAAGACGAAACGAAACAAGCCCGGCCCAATTCTACAAACACTGACTCGTAGCTCACAAAATCGTTCCACGTATCGAGTCCCTCATCCGCACGCTTCACCCACTAAATCCCTCTCTCTCTCTCGGCTCTCTCTGAGAAGGTGGATCATTTTTCTAGGGTTTGTGAGCTGAAACTTCAGTTACTGAACAACGAGAGTGGCCGTTGATTGATTAGGGAACATGTCTTCTCTGGGAACTTCAAAGGGAATTCTAGAGATCGCAAAGTTTGGGCTCTACGTCTCCGTCCCCATCGTTCTTATGTACACCTTCGCCAACAACACTACGAATCTCCAGAGATTCATGGGAAACGTAATCTCTCTCTCTCTATCTCTCTGTTACTGGTTTTGTGTATTAGCTTTGTGATGTATAATGGAGCAAGCTGTGAATTCAAATTGTTCAAAGTTGAGATCAGAGTAGATCTGATATTGCAGTATCATTATGTAAAAAATCTGTTTCATATTGAAAAATTTGCTTCAATTCCGATGTGGGTTTTATTAATCTAGCATAGCATGTTGTAGTGATTCAATTGAACCCTTAGAAGTTGAGGTGATAGTGTTGGTAGAATCTGTTAGATACTGAAAAGTTTGCTTGAAATGTGATGTGGGTTTATTGGTTTTGAAATTTATGGTGTAGTTTAATTTAGCCGAGAGGCAATGGATGTGATATTCTAGTTCATGGCATAAAGGGGCTTGCTTTGCTTATATAGATTTTGTTATGATCTGAGCGATTAGGTTTTGGTCTGCAGCATTCTTATGTTGTGTATCCACCTGAAGCGCCGAGACCTCCGTCACCAGAGGAAATGAGAGAGATGGCGCGAGAACTAGCTAGGAAGAACAATACCCGTTGATGCTTTATTTGGGGTTCTTTTCTTTTGTAACTTGTAAGTGCTTGCTATAGAGAAAACCAAAAATGCTGTGTCTTGCATTTAGATTTCAGTCGAAATAATGGTGAGGCCAGGTGGGTTTTATTTCAAGTTCAAGTGTGGCCTTGTAATGTTCCTCAATCCTACTTAAAATTTCAAATCTACTTTGCCCATTTCATGCTGTGTGTGGAGGACGAAGGAGCTTTTGTGACTTGGGATGTAAATTATATGTTGTGATACACCATGGATGGATTTGAAAGTGACCAAACATCGACAATATTCCTCTTGTACTTTTGAACTTTCATTTCGTGTTCTTTGTGGAGCTGGAATCTACTTGAAAGTGAGTTCTTTTGGTTTGCTTTTCTGGGTTGTGCTTGAGTGAAGCTGGAAGGTTAAAAATAATAAAAATATATTATATTGTATTTAAAACTACGTGGCTCTAGGTTCCACACATGTGCCACATCAATAATTTAAAAGAAAATTTAACGGAATCTAACGGCATGGATCATTTTGATATGTAGAGGATAACCTTAAAGACCAATAGTGTCACAAAAAGGGTTAAGGAAGAAATGTGATAATTTTATAAACTTCAGAGACTATTTGTGATTAAAAAAAACCAATAAAAAATAAAAAATGGATGTCGCCCTTTCAATATGGGTTGCAGCCACGAGCCCTCAGCCAACTCCTCCTATATCAAAACCTACTGGTTCATTGATAGACAAATGTCGCGATTCTTCTGGTGGGAGGGAGAGAGTCAACAATGATATAAAATATAATAATCTACATTTTTCTAGCCACAAATGTATACTGAATACTTTTATTTTTAATGAAATGGCGAGGAAAATTCGATCTTGGTATATGTTGAAATAATATCGTTGAGAAAAAAAGTATTACTAAACTAAGAGTTAGTTGGTGTTTATATCAACGATTTGATGTCGGATATGAAATTGTAAACGCAAAGTTACATTGTAATACTCTTTTCTTAAGTACGTGGAATTTTCCTTGCTCTTTCATGAAATGCATTATTAGTATTACGTTCAAATGAACAGTGGTCACTAGTCAAATTTCCACACCGCGTCTGAATTAATTACTTCGAAATTAATGAATATATTATCGAGCCACAGAATGAATCTTTATTGACTTTCTCAAGTCTTCTTCTTGTCTTCCCTGGTGGTGCTCCTGGTCGCACTGACTGGGGCAAAAGCTTTGATCAATTACGAGCACTTTGCTTCATCAAGATATAAACCACAGAGGGCATGTAGCTCATTAAAGTGTAATGACGAACTCTTTTGGCAGGTACCTAAATTTACTACTTGTTCTGGGTTCGTTGTTCATGTTTTTACATTTCTGGCTTACTTTTCTTGCTTCTATCTATGTTTGTCTGCAAAAAAACCCTGTGAGAGAAACATAAGCCAAAAGAGTACTTTCCAGTTTTACAATCTACGTGATTTTTGTTTCTTCGTTGATGGAAAACTAGCCTGAGCTGACACACAGATGCATTTTCTGGCTTAGCCGATTTCCCACTTTTGCCTTCTGTTGCAGGGGTCTGAGCAAGGAATTATTTATCTCTCCTTTTATCAGTGATTTAACCAGGCATTTTGGTTTTCTCACTACGATTAATTTTAGCTTTAATTTTATAAATCATTGAACTTCTGGGTTTTGTTTGTTGATGCTTTCGTAGTTGTTTGAGAACATATTTTGCTTTTAGTTTCCTTCGATTTAACAGAGCTTAAAATTGAAAGATTGCTTGTGCTTTGCAGTTTGGATTGTGGTTTAAAATTCTGTCCTTCACCAATTAGTATGCTGATTGGTGTGTGTGTGTGTGTGTATTTTCCCAAAAGAGATGAAAGATTTGTTAACTCTTCCCTCCCAAAATTTGTAGCAATATAGAGGATATACATGAAATTTGTGTGTCTTTATTTATGAACGAGATTATTATCTATAATTTGCTCTAAATTTGTACAATTTCATCTTCTTCCCTTTGTTAAATTAATATCTTTCTTCTCTTCTCCATCCCCTTTTACTGGATTAAGCTGATTCTTCGTTTTTCTGTCTTTATAGCTAGATGTTCGATGGTCAGAAGGAGCAATAAAAATAGGAAAGCACTTCAACCAGGGAATACGCTTAACTGATCTAGTCTTCATTTTATAGACAGTAGGTGAAATCCTTCTTCTGTTCTAATAAAGGATTTGGCAGAGAATATTAGAATGGCATTGGAGCTTATACCTATTGGGACCATCTTGGCCGTGCTAACAAACCAGGTCATTAAAACAGCTCATGCTGCTAAAGATGTTATCGAAAGAGAGAGTTTCAAGGTCCTGTCAAAGCACTTGTTTGACATTGAACTGGTCTTAAAAGAATTGCAGCTTCAAGAACTGAATGATTCTCAAGCTGCTAGGCTTGCTTTGGAGTCCCTTGAAACAGATGTTAAAAGGGCTAATAATCTGGTTGAGAAGTACAAAAATCGAGCTCGTTTCTACTTGCTTGTCAAGTGCCGACACATAGTCAAGGAGGTACAAGACGTTACTAGGGATATTGGTAGGTCATTGGCTGCTCTATCCCTGGCAAATACTGAAGTTTTATCGGGGATATCTGATCAGGTGAATAGGTTACAGAATGAGATGCAAAGAGTGGAATTTGAGGCTTCCCAGTCTCAGCTCCAAGTTTTTGACAAGCTAAACCAAGGTCTTAAAGATCAGACCCTTGACCAGGGTTTTGCAAATGACATGCTTGCAGAAATAGCTATGGCAGTTGGAGTGCCTTTAGAGCCCTCGGAGATAAGCAAAGAGCTAGCAGAGCTTAAAATTGAAAGATTGCTTGTGCTTTGCAGTTTGGATTGTGGTTTAAAATTCTGTCCTTCACCAATTAGTATGCTGATTGGTGTGTGTGTGTGTGTGTATTTTCCCAAAAGAGATGAAAGATTTGTTAACTCTTCCCTCCCAAAATTTGTAGCAATATAGAGGATATACATGAAATTTGTGTGTCTTTATTTATGAACGAGATTATTATCTATAATTTGCTCTAAATTTGTACAATTTCATCTTCTTCCCTTTGTTAAATTAATATCTTTCTTCTCTTCTCCATCCCCTTTTACTGGATTAAGCTGATTCTTCGTTTTTCTGTCTTTATAGCTAGATGTTCGATGGTCAGAAGGAGCAATAAAAATAGGAAAGCACTTCAACCAGGGAATACGCTTAACTGATCTAGTCTTCATTTTATAGACAGTAGGTGAAATCCTTCTTCTGTTCTAATAAAGGATTTGGCAGAGAATATTAGAATGGCATTGGAGCTTATACCTATTGGGACCATCTTGGCCGTGCTAACAAACCAGGTCATTAAAACAGCTCATGCTGCTAAAGATGTTATCGAAAGAGAGAGTTTCAAGGTCCTGTCAAAGCACTTGTTTGACATTGAACTGGTCTTAAAAGAATTGCAGCTTCAAGAACTGAATGATTCTCAAGCTGCTAGGCTTGCTTTGGAGTCCCTTGAAACAGATGTTAAAAGGGCTAATAATCTGGTTGAGAAGTACAAAAATCGAGCTCGTTTCTACTTGCTTGTCAAGTGCCGACACATAGTCAAGGAGGTACAAGACGTTACTAGGGATATTGGTAGGTCATTGGCTGCTCTATCCCTGGCAAATACTGAAGTTTTATCGGGGATATCTGATCAGGTGAATAGGTTACAGAATGAGATGCAAAGAGTGGAATTTGAGGCTTCCCAGTCTCAGCTCCAAGTTTTTGACAAGCTAAACCAAGGTCTTAAAGATCAGACCCTTGACCAGGGTTTTGCAAATGACATGCTTGCAGAAATAGCTATGGCAGTTGGAGTGCCTTTAGAGCCCTCGGAGATAAGCAAAGAGCTAGCAGATTTCAGAAAGGAGAAAGAAGAAGCTGCCAGCAGGAAGGAAAGAGCTGAAGTTTTCTTCTTAGAGCAGATTATTGAGCTGCTCTCTCGAGCTGATGCTGCAAGGGATTATGAAGAAGTCAAGAAGCAATACAAGCAGCGTGTTCAGGCCATAGAGAGATATGACACGAGTGAAGAGTATATTCAACCACTTAAGCCTTTTATTTGCTGTATAAAAGGAACTGTGATGGTTGAACCAGTCAGCCTTTGCACTGGTACTACATGTGAGAGAGCCGCCATCATAGCTTGGTTTGACAGTGGAAAGAGAACTGACCCAGAAACACATGAGGTTCTTGAAGATACTTCATGGAGAAGTAACCTTCCATTGAGGCAATCAATAGAAGAGTGGAGAGAACTTAATTACTGCCTCAAGATGAGATCTTCGAAGGCAAAGTTGTTATCAGGTGTTGAGACGTCCATGTTAGATGCCTTAAGCCAAATGCAAGATCTTATGCGAGAGAATTCTATTAACAAGGACTGGATTATGATTGAAGGGCTCACCGATATTATAATCTCTATCCTTGGAAACTCTCACAACAGAGATGTGAAGAGGAAGATTTTGATCACCTTAAAGGATATTGTAGAAGGGCATGCAAGAAACAAGGTACGCATCTTCGGTACTCTTTGAATACATGGAAGAAAAAAAAAAGGGAACTAAGAAAGATCCCCTTTCTTTGATTCCTTTAATTTTCCTCCCACTATTTGAATTTGTTGAGTATACAATCTATTATTGCATAGTTTTACAAAGCTATGAATTGTTTTACGGTCGTTGTAGAATTTCGTGTTTCTAATCCTTCTCAAAACGAATGCAACCCTGAAAAAAATTACTTAACGATTCAATTTTCTTGTTGACCTTACTAAAAAATAAAAAGTTTCAATGTTCTTTTTTATGTCCTGAAAATATACGAAACGTTTTGGAGTATTCTAAATCTCTTTTGAAAAAAATCTTTTAGGAAAAAGTGGTTGAATCCCAGGGGTGGGATCACATTGTTCCCTGCTTAGGCCGTGACTCAAGCATCTCAAAGGCTGCAATTGAATTGCTATATGAATTGTTGCAAGACAGATCTGGTTGGAATTTGTCTGTCTGCAGGAAACTCTCTCAACAGTGCAGTACAATTCTTTTCCTCGTTTATACCCTTTTAAAGGGTACTGTGAGGGAGTCAGCTGAGATTGCAGAGAAAATCTTGATGAAACTTTTTGACATAGATGAGGAAAACATTTCTTCTGCAGCTAAGTCTGGCTGGTATAAGCCACTTATTGATCGCATAGTTCATGGTAAGAGGATTCATTTACTGGGACTATAAACTTTCTTTATATTCAATTCCTTCGGTCACATAAAAGAATGAAAAGAGGGATGCAATCAGTAGATCTCAAATTCCTTTTACTACATTGTTCTTACCAGAAACAGTAATTGAATTCGAGGGGAAAAACGATATTGAGGAATTCTACTAGTCAGTGTGCTTATTTACAAGCCTATTAGGACACCGTGGATTCACTTTGTTCCATGATAGCCAGATATGCTAGTAGCTTTTCCTTTATGTGTGAGTGTATGGCCAGATGTTTTAACAATTAGTCTCATTCTCTGGTGTTTAAATGAGATATGTCATGTCCTCTGCATGAAATAAAGCTGTAATTCTGAATTGCCTATAATCCTTTTAACGAAAGATTAGTTGATATGCAATTTGTCATTCTAAATGTTTTCAGGGCCTGAAACTTCGAGGGTATCAATGGTGAGAACACTTGTTAACATGGAATTGGTCGACTCAAATTTGAAGCTCCTCGGTGAGGAAGGGGTTATACCTCCTTTGCTTGAAATGGCATCTGGCAATATTGAAGCAAAACAGTTGTCCTTATCTGCCTTGGCTGAATTGTCAAGTTGCAATACCAACAAAGAGCTGGTTGCAGCTTCTGGTGGGGTTCATCTTGTTCTAAAACTAGCGTTCTCTCCCCATGTTCCCTCAATCATTGTTGTTAAATGTTATGAAATCCTGGAAAAATTCGCTTCTGATGCTGCTGGGGTTAAATTATTTGTTGATGAAAATGGGAGCCAACTCGAGTTAGAGCCAATTGTCACCAATTTGATTGCGTTACAGAAGAATCCCAACTTGGCCTACAATGTCCGGAGGCCTTCCTTGCGCACACTACTTGGAATCTGCAAGTTTGATGCAGGGTTGGTTAAAAAGGCGGTTGTCACTGGCAATGCCATATCACTGGTCCTTCCTCTTCTTGATGACTCCGACTCCGAGATTCGAGAGATTGCAATAAGTTTGCTTTTCCTCTTCTCCCAGCACGAGCCTCAGGGGGTTGTTGAGTACCTTCTCAAGCCAAGAAGGCTGGAGGTTTTGGTGGGGTTTCTTGAGAATGATGACAAGGATGATGTACAGATGGCTGCTGCTGGCATATTGGCTAATCTGCCGAAATCAGAAAAATCACTAACTACGAAGTTAATTGAATTGGATGGACATACTGCAATCATAAACATTTTAAGAACAGGGACCATGAAAGCAAAAGAAAATGCTCTAAGTGCTCTTTTTAGGTTCACAGATCCCACAAACCTGGAGTCGCAGCGTATACTGGTTGAAGGAGGAGCATACCCTTTGCTTGTAAACTTTCTCAGGTCCAGCTCAGTGACTGCAAAGGCAAGAGCTGCAGCTCTGATTGGGAATCTTTCCACAAGCAGTCAAAAGCTCGCTGTTGTGTCCAAACCATCTGGCTGCTGGTGTTTCAAGCCATCGGGTGCTCCTGTTTGCCAAGCACATGGTGGCACCTGCAGTGTCACTTCCACATTTTGTGTATTGGAAGCAAAAGCTTTGCCTGACTTGGTAATGCTCTTATCCGGGGAGGTTTATGAAACTGCCATCGAAGCAATTCAAACTCTCTCCACATTGGTTCTTGAAGCCTCTCCTCAAAGAGGAGCCAATGTCTTGCATGAGGCTGATGCCATAAAGCCTACATTGGAGATCTTGACTTGGGGAACAGATTCTCTCAAGGAGGAGGCATTGAGTCTACTTGAAAAGGTTTTCTTGTCAAAGGAGATGGTTGAATTTTATGGATCAACTGCCAGATTAAGTCTTGCTGGTCTAACTGGCAGTAATTTTCATGAGGATGGTCGTCATAGGAGGAAGGCTGCCAGGGTCTTGTCACTCCTTGAACGTTATTCAAGATCATCAACATCTATTATTCCTGGGCTCTATGGCTAAAAGTTCTGCTTATCAGATCAGGGGAAAAAAAAAATACTTTAAAACTTTGCTTGAGAATTGTGATTACAGTGATCAAGTTTGGAAATTTAGTACATCAATCTCAGTTCATATAGGGTTTAGCATACATGATTTGGAACTTTCAGTATACATTGGTCAAGATGGGTGGGCAATATGCTTATAAAATCTTCATTTAGAGCACCATGTCATTACACTCGAATTTGTCAATTGGCATGCTAATCAAAATTCTCACATAAACAAATAAACATAACATGTGCATATGGGACATGTTTTAAAGCTCAACCAACTAAAGCTGTCATAAAACTAATATCAATATATAGAACTCAAAGAGTATTTTTCTCTTTTGGTCAGAGAACTTAATAGTCAAAACCATTTTTTTTTAACTGAGTAAACAATTTATCATTCTGTTAAAAGAATTCGCTTGGAAATGAAGTTGTCATGAGGTGCTATTTGTTTTCATATTTCTGGTAAAAACAAATAGCACCGATATTTGAGTTAGAACTATGGGCTAGTTTCTTGGAGTTTTGAGTTCGTATAAGAATTTGACGACGATTTTTGAACATTTGTTTTACACACAAAAGAAAAACTTCAAACTAATCAAGTACACCTATTTTTATACAATATAATTATAGTAGTGATGATTGGTGGTGTGAGTTCTTTCACTTTAGGTTGTCTTCCCTCAATTAGGGTTAGAAACTTCCTTGAGCATCCACAATGGGAGGGTGTATTTTCGGGGGTGTAACACCACTTTTACATCCCTTTTACATATCCGGGGGTTGTAAATGTGATTTTTGCTCTAATGGGTAAGATGTATAATTGATTTCTTTCACCTTTTTTGTTGTAGGTCCCACTTTTGCCCACTTTTTCTCACATTTTCTCATGTAGGTCCCACCTACAAGAGATGTAAAAAAAGATGTGCATGTGCATCTAAATTTGTATCTCATGGTGGTGATGCAAATTTACACTCGTTTTCACCTTATTGCAGGTGATTCTGATAACAAAATGTGTATATTTAACATACACCTCATTATACACCCTCCCACTGTGGATGCTCTTAGTTTTGGCTCCTTGAAAGTTCCCTATTTAAAAGACTGTCACCT